TATGCTCAGAAACTCCCTCTGTAGGAAACTTATATCAAACAATACAGGAAAGGGAAAAACCAGCAAAAAAGCATAATCTTTAATATCCAAATAAATATTTCTTTACTAAATAAATACATTGGGCTGGCTACATTGCATGAAGTAGTTGATTGATTTGTACTAGTTGGAAATGTGTAGTTATCACTCTTGTCCACTGACTTCATGTCGCTTCCTTCTCTCCTAATCTCTTTCTCTCTTCGCTCTCGACATATGCTCCCCTCTCTGCCGGCGGTGCTGACTTGGCTTCCTGTCACAATTCATCCATCTCCTTTTGCTCTTCCTTACCCGAGAGGCTTGCACTTACATACCCATATATAAATGCGCACACACACACACACACAGTCACAGTCACGCACACGTCTTACTTGCATTGTCACGGAGGTCAACTGCCCCCAATGGCCGCCTACTCCCAGTCGACTCCTATCAATATCCTCTGCTTCGTCCTCCAGATGTTTAACCCTCAGCTGCTCTTCTTGTCGTCCCGCCGGACCCTTTGTCTCCAAGGCTGTAGCTAAGAGTGTCTCAACTCACTTTTTATTTTGTAACACAGATGTGATGCATGTAGTGTGGTGAGAGAAGACGAAAAACCCGCGTTGAAAATGTATTTTGGATTTTTAAAATGAGTGTAGCCTGAACTGTCAGATCAGTATTCATGTTGTTATGTCAAAGTCTCAGTGGGACAGATCACTGCTGTCATAGCGCTGCGTCTGTTAGACTGTAAAACATGGAGGACGAAAACTCAAGCATGCTGTCAAATTTAATTGGGATTTGGGGAGTTCCAGCTAAACTAGAACAGGCGGGTCAAAATCGGCGAGCGCTCAATGTAGTGCGAGGAAAATGAGATGCTTCAAAGCCGACCTGCAACCATGGCTGCTTTTTTACAGTGAATATAACCATGATTTAGACACTAAATAATGACCTTAAATGTTATATAAGGTCATGCAAATATCCGGGCTTGTAACGAGAAGATTGTGTACAGTACTTTTTAAAGAGCTGTTTCACTGCTGCTGCTGAAAAGTGACGCAAAGAGAGACACTCGGACAGAATGATATAATAATAACTCATCATAAGACCGAGGGGAACTTAAAAATCAGTTGATATCTTCTGTGGTTTCATCACTACGAGTGAACCCTTTCAAATTGTCTTTTGATTATTTTTCCTATAAAATATATTGACTGTAGCTTCTTTAGGTATCCATTACTAAATGTGCATCAAGTAAACATGAAGAAAAGACCCCTAAACATGAATGTACTTGAAATATCATGGTTCATGTCCATTTCTTTATTAAGAACTAACACTCAAAAGCTCTTCTATCTTCCTCTCTGGCGCTCTGTAGGTGCCAAATTAATGGATCAGATTTTAAATATCTCATGTGAGAAAACTAAAACTGTTCTAACTTTGGCAGAAATTACAGTGTTCCGTCATTCATATAGTTAGAAGTGTGAAAATAGGAATTCAGTTCCTTTTTCTAACAAAGGACTATTTCTGTACCCGGCTCTTACTTTGACGTCAGACAAATGAAACCAAAATGTCTGAGATTTGTTTCTGTAGTTTCTCTTACAAAGCGCAGTTGAATCAGACGCTGAAAATATCCTTTTGTAGTCAGAGCTTCATTGTTGCTGCTGCTACTCACTGAAGTTCGGTCGAAGCGCTCAGTTTTTTCCACCAAATAACCTTCAGCTCAGTATCTTCTCAGACACTTTCCGCTAGATAAAGTTTATATAGTGAATGAATGGTGTTAGTGAAGGTGACTTTGACTGGAGGATTGGCCCTTAAATAAAAGACAACTGGACATTACTTCAAATTAAGCCATAATATTACACCATCATTTATTTATTGAAGTACATTTTGTATCAATAACATAGATATGCATAGTAGCTAAATACCAAAGCTGTAAAATGGCCATTCAATACGTTTGCCTACAAAATGTAGCCAAATGTAACGGCAGACATTTCTTCAGCATGACTTTCAGTTAAAGAGTCTCTCTTGTGCTTTTTGGGGTTTCCCCTTTCTTGTAATGTGTTATTGTGGCCGTTTCTCAATGTCGAGTATACCTGCTGCAGAGCCACTATTTCAAGTATACTACGTCATCGAGTGGCGCCGAATGCTGGGCATTTAAACAGTCCTTCGGCGCCACTCGATGACGTAGTATACTTGAAATGGTGGCTCTGCAGCAGGTTTACTCGACATTGAGAAACGGCCACTGTATACGTCGTTTCTTGAGCATTTAAACGGTCTGCAAAGGCTTTAATCTCCAAATTCCCTCCTTGATTAGACTCAATGCCGTTTCTACATGTGCTGTAACAAGAAAATGTCCCAATTTTGGGTCAAAAAGAAAAGAAAATCTAATCTAATATCCTACAGCTCCTTTCAAAATCACAATATAACATCAGTCCTGTTTTTGTCCTCTGATTTAGTTTGAAATATGATTATTGCTGGCCGTTGTTTGCCAGTAAAACATGAATGGAAGCAGAAAGTCTCAGGTGAAATCTGCACCCTGAATGCAGCTCTGATCACTCACTGTTTGCGCTTTAGCATTCTGGATGGCAGTGGAGTGTTATTGATTTTCTCTTGATTGAGCTGTTAAATAAATTTCAAGTCTGCCGTAATCCAATTTGACTCCTGTCCCAGTCTTTCCATGTCTGGAATTGGCAGCGCTGTTGCGTCCACATGTAGTTTGTAGTGAAAGGACAGCCTTGAGAGGAGCTTTTAAAGGCACCCAGAGGCAGGACTACACTCACTGAAACTCACTCTTCGCCTCACTTACCAGGAGCCCTAAAAGTAATGAGAAATTACAATAATTTCCACCAGCCAGAGTAGTTCATATTCATTATTCTAAGGAAAAACATAATGATGCCTGCTATAAATGATATTTCATGAATAAAATCAGGTGCGATGTGTTATTTAAGACTCGCTGTTTTATGCATCGGGTCAAGTTCGTCATCACTGCGTCTCCATTAGCTATCGAGAGACATGTTCTTTGTGTAGCAGGAGCGTCACAGTCAGTCATTTAAAAAATACGTTGTTTTTGCTTCAAACTGACTGGCTGTCTCTCAGAGAGGAGATAAACAGGAAACTGAATTTAACTGAAGTGTTCAATGTTACAGTCTCAGCCAGTTCTGGGAGCATTTCAGGTGCCAGAAACACATTTTACTGGCATTTGGTGCTCAGTGGGGGGTAATTTCAGTGCTGCACATATTTAACACTTCAGTATATGCCAGTCTCTTTTATGCACCAGTGCTGTCCACTGCACATATGCCAATTCAGCAGTTTTCAACCTCTCATAGAAAGTGTAAGTCAGCAGAAATGTCTACTTGAGTTGTACAGGTCAATTCACGTCTAAACTGCAGGGCAATTAGACGGTTTCAACACCCAAATGCCATCAGTCATCAAAAATTAGATAAAAACGATTCTGTCTGCACTGCAATGAAGTCACTAAACGATATGCAGTGCCATACAGACGCAATTTCAGATTTTTTTAGGTCAACATTATTTGTGTAAGTCGTATTTCTGGTTCTCATGTAATTCTCTGGCTTGTTATCATGGACATTTCTATTGATTCTTTTATTTGTGTTTGTCACTGAAAAAACAATACTATCAGTTATCTTTTAGACAAATAATTATTACATCATTTTCCCAAAAGCTATTTTTTCATTTAACCACAAGCTTTTCAACTTTTTTTAAATGTTGTCTGAACTCAAGTAGTTACACAACCTTTCCCACAAATAACATCGCCCAAAGATTGTCACAATTCTGATTTAAAATGCTCTTAAGAGAGAATACTGTAAGTAGAGGACAAATAACACCAGACTTTAATGGCAGAGGTTATTTGAACGTGTTTTATACTCTGTTAAACTGAAACATCGATCAGAACAATATTCACTAACCTTTCAGCTCTGTGATGGTTAGTTTCCCGACTCTTCAGAAAAGTAGTCCAGGCTGCTGAATGCTGCCTATAGGAGCGCTGTGACACTACACCATACATTAAAAAACCAAATCAGTGAGCTTCAAGCCTGTAGAATGGGATCGATGTCAGTATAGTGACAATTCCCCATATTATAAACATCTCTTTTCTTATTGTCACTATCTTGTTTTACAATGGCTTGTAATAATGCCCCTATACTAAGCTTTAATGGCGTGGCTCCATATCTTCCTGACACTGTTGGATGGACTTCAGAGAGGCTCAACGTACACTAGCGCTCATCCCAGATAGAGAGGAATCACATCTCCTACGTATTTACGTCGCAGCTTTACTGTACTGTATGTTAGGAGAGTGTGTGGCTAGTCTTGGTGCTTTGGCTTTGGGTTACGCCTTCTCTGACTGCTGCTGCCTTGCCTGCCTGGATAAAGGCAGCATGTATAGCGAGGGATAACAGAAATCTCTTAAGTGCGTCTTTGCAGCCTGTCTTTGTCGCCAGTGGAGGAGTTAGGAAGACTTTTTAGAGGTTAAATCTCATCTCTCCGCTGAATATTGCAAACGCATTAGCATATAAATGTGCTCCTTGTGAGATGCATGTTTAATACGGAGGAGATTTAAAAGTATAATCATACACAAAGTGATGATGTGGCAGTGAATGGGACAAACACAAGACAGGAGGGGGGGGGGTGCGGGGGGTGCTGATGAGAATTGTGTGTGTGTGTGTGTGTGTGTGTGTGTGTGTGTGTGTGTGTGTGTGTGTGTGTGTGTGTGTGTGTGTGTGTGTGTGTGTGTGTGTGTGTGTGTGTGTGTGTGTGTGTGTGTGTGTGTGTGTGTGTGTGTGTGTGTGTGTGTGTGTGTGTGTGTGTGTGTGTGTGTGTGTGTGTGTGTGTGTGTCAGCCTGTGTGAATGACAGAACAATCAGCGGTGGCCTTAACGGGAGAAATATACACACCACAGCTAACCTGCAATCTCCCCCCCTCTCCACTTTCCTCCCTCATCATCCGCACCCCACCCCACCCCACCTCCCTTTTTCTCCCTTCAGAAACCAAAGCAGAGAGACTGGCACCCCCCTGATGGCTTCATCCTGGGCCTGTGGACTCTAATCCTCCTGGTGTTTTTCAAGACGTACGGCATGAAGCACCTCAAACACATCTTCTGAGGCCTCAGCATTCACACCGCTGGATATCGGAGGACACAGAGCTGCAGATATGGAGCTTTCGCTGAAGGGATATTAGAGGAAAGGGTGCGGGGTGTGACAGGCTTATTTTTCCTGTAAAGTGGAAAGAGATGTTTAGCACCACAAATGCTTTCCCAGGAACTGTGTGTTGCAGTTGGTGCCTTTTAGTTTTCTTTTGGGTGATTTCTTTCCGTTGATGAAATGTAAGCATGTGTGTATTTTTCCAAATGTGACGAGGGACACACACTTCAAAGTCATGCATTGGATTTGCAGTTCCTCAATGCCACGGACATTTGATATGTTTTAGGTTTTTCTTGGATTTGTGTTTATTTATTTTGGTGTGGAAAGTGTCTGTGTTGTCGAGCCATTCCATTGTTATTTGGTACAAAAAATGCACTGAATTTATCTGCAGATAATTTAATTTATTTCTGAAAGCGCGCTACTCTACATATTTCAGTAGCGGCGGCGGCCTTTTATTGTTTAAGTGCTACTCAGAGTGTCTGCTCGGTCAGGAGAAGGAAAGTGTGTGATGAGGGCGGCTGATTGGCTGTGAGTGGGCTGTGAAGAGATTACTATTTTATGTCTCTCTTGTCTATATACATTACACCCCTTGACTGTCATATCACGCTCGTGAAGGATAACAATCGCACGTAATCCCATCTCGCCCGATGGACCCATCCACTTTCCCATTCACCAAATTGCCCTCCCTGTGGAAACATCCATTAGCTCCCCAGCCGGGTACTCCGCTGATTGTATTCTGGATGATGGACGGCTATTTCTCCGGCCATTCCACGCCCGGCGCTACAGCAGCGATAAGTGAGTGATAACCTAGTAAGCTGCCGGCCGTCCTAAATGAATCTCCTCGGTGCTGTTCACCTCCTTTTGCCCCTCTCTCTTCCCCTGCATGTGTAACTCCTCTGCATTAGGCTCATTGTTGGAGGGAGTGACTGATTCTCAAAGCATACGGGTTGAACCTGCGGTAGTTTGTCTTTGAGGATCATCCACTGCAACTGTGCTCTGCAGCTGAAGCAGAAAATAGATGGGATTGGAAATGAAACCATATGTATCAGAGGGCAGCTGCTGCGTCAGCCACCAAATACCTTTTTTCTTATGCATTATGTATGCAATGCTTATTTCTTCTTCCTCTCCGTGTATAATTTCCTGTAATCTCATTCTGCCTGGTCCCCTTTCCTAGAGAGCAAGATCCTTTTGATACCCTGATTAAAGATGAAACACTCAATTAAATGAATGCTTTTGTTGTTGTTTTCCTTCCATTATTAATCTTTATAGAAACACATGATCTGATTTAACTGTTAACTACCCTTTAAAGGTGGGGTAGGTAAGTTTGAGAAACCGGCTCGAGATACACTTTTTGTTATATTCCATGGAATGCTCTTAACATCCCGATAGCAATGAATATCTTAAGTGCTTTGACAAAAAGTCCATAAAAAAAATATCATCTGTGGAAGCCGTGGCGCTGTAAAAAGCACGACCAATCATCTGAGCCGGCCCGGCTAAAATAACTGGATGGCCTACCTGCCTGTCAGCCTTCCATCTGGGCACAAACTTATCTCGTGCCCTCATTGGTCATGTGCGCGTTCATGTGTGTTGGAGGAGGGGCTCTGTAAGGGAGTGGCAGATTTTTTCCGGTTGTGTATTTTCAAATTCTAGCGCACTCGAGCTGGTTTCTCCAAAATGACCCACCCCACCTTTAAGGTATGCCCAGCTCAGTCTAAACTTATTTTAAATCACATATAAACTTAACATCTGTAAACTTTAAATTGACATACAGCTTGTACATAATCCCCAGAGAGGCTTTTAAAATATAGTTTTCTTTGTGTTGCAGTCTCGTATTTCCCAAGACATTGGACCCCAGCCTCTATACACAATCTTAAACAATATGCTGGCAGCAGATGCAATAAATAAATTAGAGCCAACCTATCTCCGATGGATTTGTTTGTTCTTAAACCCACTTCAAAATCAACTCAATTTCCTCTGCGCCTCTGGTTGCTCCTTCAGCACACGCAGACGGAATTGAATATATTCTCCTTTCAGCCCGGTGATGTATTCTCCTGTCTCCTCTGTCACTATAGATTCCAAATGCTAATAAAGATCTGTGTCTGTTTTCCTTCACACCTGATTTAGTTGGGAGAAAACCCAGTGACAGGACAATATCAGAGCAGCCACCTCCAAAGAGACGCAGAGACTGAGCAGTGGAAGCAGGATGCTCTGAATGTGTCACACAGGTTGTTCAAACGACAATCTCTATCACCAGTGAACACACACACACACACACTTTGCTTGTTGTCTTTAAAGCTGAACAACATTGACATTTAGTCCCATGTGGCAGCCTGCTATATTTAATGGTTCACGCACAGAAGCACACACATGCTGTTTGGACACGGTGTGCGCCCGACAGGTTGTCCAATTTACAGAAAAACTCTGATTTCCAACTGCTCTCCTGTCAGCCAGCCTTTGAAATGTCAATCATTCCCAGCAGTGATGATAGTAATTTCAGCAGTCAAAGATTCTCCTTCTCATCAGCAACAATAGCGGTGGCATATCAAATGCTCTGTGGCTCTTGTTTAGTGTGGGTTTGAATTTAAATGTTTTTTAAGCTCAAACTTTGAGTGAGAAAACCGATATAAAGAACAGGAGAGAGTTCCAAATTTCAGTGAAGCCTGGATATGAACAGCTTTATGTTCCCAGTCCAGATTGCATTGTTTTATTTATGCAAACTCAATTTTACACCAAGAACAAACTAAGAAAGCAAAGAAGATCCAGCTGATACAAACAAAATGTGTTTTTTAAGCACACAGTAGGAAGTCATTTTGTTATGCTGGAATGCTACGATGAATATTAAAATGCCATGACATCTAAAGTTTATGTTTGGCCTTGAAGACAGTAGTTTTAGTAACAGTGCTATATAGCAAAAATCTACGTTCAGTCTCAAAAAGAAGTCCTTCAAATGATTCCAAGGAAGATTTTACGATACGATTTAAAAGCTCCAGAACAGCTTTTTACCTTGAGGTGAGTCAATTAAAACATTTTTATTGTATAGACTTTGCATGGCAAAACAATCCTTTTTTTTTTTCAGTGAGATATCTCATGGTCTTCATACACCTGTTGTCACATGACCAAAGTTCCATACTGTACTTATTAGATGAAAACAGAAACACTCCAGCTGCTGTTCAAGACTGTGAGACCTGGTTAAAAGCTCCAGTAAGTGTACCTTGACTTAAAGGTGGGGTAGGTAAGTTTGAGAAACCGGCTCGAGATACACTTTTTGTTATATTCCATGGAATGCTCTTAACATCCCGATAGCAATGAATATCTTAAGTGCTTTGACAAAAAATCCATACAAAAATGTCATCTGTGGAAGCCGTAGAACTGTAAAAAGCACAACCAATCATTTTAGCCGGCCCGGTTAAAGTAACTGGATGGCCTACCTGCCTGTCAGCCTTCCATCTGTGCACAAACTTATCTCGTGCCCTCATTGGTCATGTGCGCGTTCGTGTGTGTTGGAGGAGGGGCTCTGTAAGGAAGTGGCAGATTTTTTCCGGCTGTGTATTTTCAAATTCGAGCGCACTCGAGCTGGTTTCTCCAAAATTACCTACCCCACCTTTAAATTGAAGATGTTAAAAATGAAACGCCTACATTTTCATCTCTGTTCATAAGTCTTATGATATTATACTTTATAATGAGAAATCAATCCTCCTTAATGCACGTTAAGAACATTTTATTGATCTGTCTCACTATTGGATTGTTTATCATTCTTTAATACATACTTGTATTCCCTTTATCATCCTCTGATGTTTGCTTGATCAAATGTTACCTTCAGTAACAGAGGCTGTACTTTTTCAAACACAAAAGAGAGATGGTCCAGCACTCAGCCATGAAGTCAGTCAGATATGTGTTTTTAGCTCGTGGGAATAATGGCCTTGTAACGCCGCATGTGTTTCATTATTATTTCAGTGTGACACAGCCTGATGTCACGAGCAGACAGGGAGGCAGAGATTGAAAAGTAAGAATCGCAGCTGCCGTCAGTGGAGGGTGAAGGTGAGTCACTGGCCTCCCCTCCATGTCTCATCTTCACGTCTGAGGGGTAACACACACACACACACACACACACACACACACACACACACACACACACACACACACACACACACACACACACACACACACACACACACACACACACACACACACACACACACACACACACACACACACACACACACACACACACACACACACACACCTTGTTTTTGTTACCTATAGAAAAACTACTGAATGCAGTACTGTTGGTAAACATGTTTTATTGAGTGGAATGACACATTTCCATCATGTGCAAAAAACTCCTATTAACAACATCAGTGCTAAATTATTAGTCGATTAGTCCTTCAAAAGGAAATACATTTATAACAGTTGAGTAACCCTTTGAAAGGAATGTTTGACATTATGAGAAATGAGACTTCTTCTGAGAGTACAGATTGATACCACTGTCATGTCTGTACAGTAAATATGCAGCTGGTTAGCTTAGCTTAGCATAGAAACAGAAATGAGAGCCAGGCCAGCCCTGTGCAAAGACAGTGGTGGAAGACGGACTCAAATCCTATATCAGTTCAAATATAAATACCATAGTCTTAAAAATACTCAAATAAATGTTCAGAATTCAAGATGTTACTTAACTAGTTTTTATCAGCAAAATCTACCTAAAGTATCAGAAGTAAAAGACAGAGATCTGCATGATGGCTCCTCTCAATGTGGTAGGATTTTTATATAATTCTGTTTTTATAACGTACAAATACATGGGACAGTATTTAAGGGATTCATCAATGAAGAGCCAAATTGAGATAAGCGTCAAATAACTATAGTGGAGTCAAAATGACTTTTCCCTCCCTGTATAAGCAGAAAGTATAACAGAGGAATACTCTAGTACAATTTTGACATACTTGTACTTGACTTATGACAGTACTTAGTTAATATACTTGGTTATATTACACCACCATCCAAAGATCATTAGGTGTTACACAGGTTGATGTTTTATATTTAGTAAGTGCTGTTTTTCTTGGCTGGGACTAAAAGTAGTCAGGCATGCAAGCCCCCGGTAAAACAGCTAATTGTCTTGTCTTTCCATTTTCACTTCATGCTAAGCTACTGTAAGCATCTGCTGGCTTCAGCTACATTTTCACTGTACAGATATGAGAGATAAGTCAAACTGAATATCTGCACGAAGAGAGTAATACCAAACCTTATCCATGAAGCATGAAACATTTGAAATGTTCACTGTGTCACCTTGTCGATTGTGAGGATTTTCTTCTGTTATACAGTTATACCAATTTAATATCTTTGGGTTTTGTCTGTTGTTTGTACAAAACCAGCAGTCTGAAAATGTCACCTTGGGCTCCGGGAAATGGTGACTAATTTCTGACATTTCAGAGACCAAACAATTAATCTAAAATGAAAATAGCTTGCAGCCCAAAAAGACAAACTGTGAGTGTGTGTATCACTCCGCTGATACACACTGCTGTGCACACAGATGAGTAAACAAACACATATCTTCATCTCTCCTCGAGCAGCAGGACTCTCAGTACAGTAGCATCACTCCTGCAGCTCTTTGTGATGGATGAAAAGTAATCGCCGCGTCTCCGATGTGAAACACATCCTCGTGTGAGCGCCTCTGTATCTGACCCACGGCATTCCTCCTCTCATTACTTACATTACAGAGATGAGGGGGAAATCAATAAGGACTTGGGACCAGAATCATTAAGATAACCACAGGTCTCATCACTTCCTGCAGACACCTGACTCTTATTCATGGAGGAGAAAATAGAGGATCTCAGATAGAGGAAGGGTTAGTCTACAAGCTGCATACACTCCATCAAATGAGAGGAGAGTGCTATACAACACAATCGAGAGCGAGAGAGGAGAAGACGGACACATCACATACTCATCAGTTTAACAAAAATCTGTAATTTTCCTGCGAGGAGATTCAGGCCGCAGATGAGCGCTGTAGAGTAGGATGGATGGCGCCGGTGCATCCCTGCTCTCCATTTTAATCTCCCACTTGTCTTGTGTGACATGGCTGTGCATTTACTGTACATGGAAATCTGGCTTGTAGCTTTATAAATTGCACTATTAGGTGCTGACAGGAGCTGACAGGAGCCGACAAGGCCTTATAATACATACGTACGGGCCACGAGGCACACACACACGAGATAAAACCTTCCAGTTAATAGCACACACACAAGATAAAACCTTCCAGTTAATAGCACACGCATGTCACTCAGCCGGGTCGGGACGCGGTGCAAAGTTTCACTTGTTTGACACTTGTGAGTTTACAATGCACACATCTGAAAGGTAGTGAAAATGAAAGTCAGGGAAGTGATTCATACCGGATTTGTTGCACGGCACAAAGAATCGGATCCAACTTGACCTCTTCACACTTTGAGTACAGCGAGAGAATAATGGTGATGAATCATACTTTGACTTTAACTACACTATTATAGGTATTCATGTGGCACTGTCTCCAGCACCACATTGTAATGGTACTTTTCTTTCAGAGCACTGTGAGCCTTGAATCCTGCAAAGATCCTTCATCCAGCAGAGGCTTTGTGGAGAGCCCAAACTCAAGTTAGTATCCGCTGCGATCCCTCAGGGGCGGGCGGGCGGGCGGGCACACACACACACACACACACACACACACACACACACACACACACACACACACACACACACACACACACACACACACACACACACACACACACACACACACACACACACACACACACACACACACACACACACACACACACACACACACACACACACACACACACACACACACACACACACACAACACACACACACACACACACAACACACACACACACACACACACCCACACTAAGACACTGGATGCATGCATTGAGAGTGTGTAATGATGTTTCTCTTTGTATACAATCACTTTACAAGGTTGTACAATGGATGTATAACTTTGAACTCAGTGAACCAAACACACTGATGGAGCTGGAGAAATGTTCGCACCAAACATCCAGCAGGATTCTTCTTCTGTGGTAACTATATCTTGCCTTCTTCTTGTTTCATCCTTCTCTGATAAGTGTCCAGCAGCCTTCAATGCAAACACTTCCCCATCTTTAGACTTTTTCCTAGATGAATCTCTAAAGTATTTTTCTCCCTCCCAACACAGGTCACGTCTTCTGGGGTACCAGGGGCGCCGCGGTGGCTGTGGCTTCTAGAGTCTGGTTGGCTGGGAGAGGAGGGGGTGTCCAGTCCGGCTGGTAGAAGTGGATGTCAAAAGTCCGAGCCCACTTAGCAAAGACCCTCTTCTCCGTGATGAAGCGGTGGTGGCTGCCCCTCCGCCCGCGCTCATGGGAGATGTACATGGCGCACTCGTCTGGACCCCGCGGCTCGTAGTAGTGGTACGGGACGGAGTGTTGCTGCGACTCCCTGCAGAAATACAGAATAATTATAATTATAATAATAATACGTTTATTTAGTGTTGGGAACATACTGAATGTACTCTTCCAATATCAGAGTCCACATGATAACAAAGGTATCCCAACTGTAGCTGTGTACATGACAGGATGTATGATTACCTAGAAGAGCATCAGGACTGTTTTAGACATATGATAGCTATGTGATTAACATGATGATTCAGCCTCTATGGAGAGAGACATATGACAAGCATGATCATTTCTGATGTGGCCCTTAGCTACAGTAATAGTTGTACCATATGCTCTGTATGTGATGACTACTTCCATTCTTGCAAGGATAATAAATGCATGTATCCTGATTATTGAAGCTCAAGTCGGTGCCGAGTGATATTTTTCCAACATCTAGTATAGCACCTTTCACAGAAATAGAAGTGCTTCACAAGAAAGAAAAAAAAGACCACAGAAACATGAATCCAATAACCACACGAGGCAGAAATGTAAGGTTAACATAAAATCAAAACACAGACCACAGAGTCCCGAAAGGAACAAACATATGAACAGAACACATCACACACATCTCAAGTATAAACAAAAGCCAATGTAAAAAGATAGGTCTTCAGTCGTTTTTTTTAAAGCTTCTACAGAGACAGCAGAGCGGATGTCAATAGAGGGGGGGGGCTCTGTAGTGTTGGAGCACCACTTGAAAAGACACGGTCACCTTTAGTAGCAGAGGGGGTTGACATTTAAAAACCGCTTTATGAGTCACTTCAGCTTCAGTGTTTTTCATGTATTGTTTAAAGAGGTGGACTGATTTGCATTTATTTGTCCGTCTCTGCATGGATTACGTAACCACATTTAATAGCTTTTTAAATGCCACCTGCAGCTCATGACTAAATGAAAAAGACAAATGAAGAAACAAAGTTTAAGCATGAATAATGAAAGTTATGACAAAAGAGCCTCCATTCAGGCGGGCATGAGCAGCGTTTTATATTCACATCATGTATGAGTTCTCTTCTTACATCGGGTGGTCTATACAAAGATGTGTTACTAATTGCTACCCTGCTGCCTGATTTCAAATATGTAAATCCCACTCCCCGGGATACTTATCATGCACAAACTCTACAACTATAAATGTGGCTTTTATTCTGTCGTTAATCTAGATGACTATTTCTTATCAATGTTGATTCAGTAAAAGAAATGTTCTGACTTTTTTCCAACCAGAATATGCACCGCACTTGCATACACTAAAAGAAGTCACAGTATAGTAGGTTACAAAAAGGTTTCGTATGTCTAAAATGATGGAAAATGTCATTATATACATGTCAAAAAAGGTTTCATAATATAGTATGTCATAAAAAGAAATAAAAACGGTGTAGTAATAAAATAAAATGTAATATTGGTGATTGGATTTAGTTAACAAAAAGTCAAAGTAAAGTGTGTCTGAGAAAAGTAAAAAGGTCAGTATGATTGGAAGCTACAGTAAGCTAACCCAGCTACGACCTCAGGCTATTCCACTACCCAGCATGCACCAGGCTGATGTCCTCTTGTGTGCTCTTCTGTCCGACCGCTGGAAGAAGCACAGACTTAAAGGTCCCCTATTATACTGTTTTTCATCAATATATTACAGGTCTCAGATATATACAAACATGTCTCTGAAGTGTTTGGCTCCAAACACCAAAGAGATCATTGCAGCATCCCATAATCCCCTCTGTTTCAGCCCTGTTTCCAAAGTGCTGATTCTCTGTCTGTTACTTCAGATGAAAATAAGGAGCCACTCCCCACGCCCCTCTGAGAGATATTTGGTTACAAAGAACACAATGGTGCTCTAGGAGGAGATTCAGGTGATAAGGTGGTTACCTTGGTTGGTGATTGGCTAATGGTTACACAAGCCAAAACATCGTTATGACATCATAAAGTGGGCAAAATCTGATCAGCTCATTTTCAGACAGGTTTTTATATAAATGGATCAGGACAAAAAGAGAGAGAATCTTTTTTCCTGAAACTTTCAGAGTCTCTTTACACAGAGGGGACACATGTTGATGTAGAAGAGACATGAAAAAGTGGATTTTGCATAATAGGTCCCCTTTAAGGAATACTACAGTTTTTATTTCGTCTTGTCTTGTTTGTTTTTCAGCATTTAATGAAAAACTGCATCTCATTGTGCAATCCTGTGTTGCAGAATGACAGGAAATGATCCTTGTTGTACTAAAGTCGTGGTAGAGTATGCCATAAAGTAATGTAATTAAAATGTTATGCTGTAGTATGTCATTAAAAGTCATGCTACATTAATAAAAAGACTTAGCAGAAAGTCACTGTATAGTTGTCTACCCTTCATTAAGAATTTAAATAATGTAAAATGTCGACAAAACACATTGGATGTAAGTGATTGTCAGTTGGATCACATCCAGTAACATCTGCAGACTTCACTTGTAACAACTTATAGTGATTGCCAAATATGAGCTTAGACAACCATTTGTTCAAAGAAATGAACCGACATCTCTCTCCTCATTATCAAGATTGGACTTGTGCCTATACCCAAAATGATTTAATCAATCAGCAGCGGGAACAAAGATATACTGAGCATTTTACAGTTTGTTCTTTTTTATTGAGAAATCTAATAAGATTTGTTCCTTGTCCAATAAAATCCCCCAATTAAAGCGTTGGCTGAGAGGAAAGAGACGTGAGCTGTAATTTCAAACCATTAAACTCGGCTAATGAGACGCTCGTTGAGTTTGTTGCTATAGGAGCAGGACAGTCCCCCTCAGCTATGTATCCCATCATCCTTTGCATTTGTGCTGAAGGGGAGCAGCGTCATGGTCACGTTATTTTAACCTGCTCAGTGAAAAGAGAGGGAAATATTAGATTTATTTAAGATTTATGAAAGGTTAAAAATCCCTTTTTCTTTTTTCAAAATGCTCAGTGGAAATAATATCAGGGGTTCTGACCTTGGATTATATTATCCTGGATATTGGTTTTGTGTTCACTCTGTTTTCTGATTGCAAAACTTCCTGTAGTTATTTGTGGTTAATTTGGCGCAATATGAAAAGTATGTATTATATGTATTATTTCCATTTCCTCCACATGGCCCGTACTAATGATGAGAACATCTTGAGAGGTTTTATTTTGGTATAATGGCTTCCCTGTAAAGATGGAGTATTCTACCTCCAATAACAGAAACATTAAAAGCTCCTTCATGAGTCAACAACTTCCTGTTCTGAGTATTTTCTCTATAATCAAGTTGAAAAATATGAAAAACTGTTATAGTATAGTGTGTTGAAAAATCATAGTATAATATGTTAAAATATCATGAAAACTGTATGTCAAAAAATCCAAATAAAAGTCGTTTTATAGACTGTTAAAAAAAGTCTTAGTATAGTATGTCGGAATAAAAACGAAAAGTCATGAGATATTATGTTTAAAATGTCGAAAAAAGTTGTAGTATAGCATGTCGAAAAAAAGACATAATTTAGTATGTCCAACATTTTGAAATAAAGTCATACTGTAGTTAAAGGTAGGGTAGGTAAGAATGGAGAAACCGGCTCGAGATCGCTAGAATTTGAAAATACACAACCGGAAAAAATCTGCCACTTCCTTACAGAGCCCCTCCTCCAACACACACGAATGCACACATGACCAATGAGGGCACGAGATAAGTTTGTGCACAGATGGAAGGCTGACAGGCAGGTAGGCCATCCAGTTATTTTAGCCGGGTCGGCTAAAATGATTGGTCATGCTTTTTACAGTACTACGGCTTCCACAGAATTTTTTTTATGTATTTATTGTCAAAGTATTTAATATATTCATTGCTATCGGGATGTTAAGAGCATTCCATGGAATATAACAAAAAGTGTTTCTGAAATAAATGACATACCCCACCTTTAAGTATGTCAAAACAAAAGGTCACCGTCTAGTACGTTGAAAAACAAGTTACGGAATAGTACATATGTCAAGATTTAGAAAAAAAGTCATAGTATAGTATGTGGACAATTTTGAAGAAAAGTTATAGTATAGTTAAATGTCAAAAAAAGTCTTAGTAGTCATAGTATAGTATGACGAAGAATATCAGAAAAAAAAAGTCATAGTGTGTTGAATTTTTTGTAAATGTACTGCAAGCTGAATCTCTCTTCAACAGGAGGCTAGAGGGAAGCCTGTCTACACAGATATGACAGAAAACGTCATTCTGTATACAGTATGTTCAACAAAGCTTCTTCACACACTGTGCAATGATGTGGCCATACAGAGGAGCAGAGTGAGACCCCTGCTTTCTCTTTTATCTCACATGCACACAAATACTAAAACTCTGTGAGAATTATTCTTCATTTTGACTAATCTTCAGGCAATTTAAGCAATCCAAAAACATCTCCAGTCACAGTGACGTTTTATCTATCAGCTGCCTGAATACATTTAGTTTGAATCTTTCTTATCAGGGCGATGTGCTGCTATGAATTTCTATACACTTAGAGCGACTGCATTTACACCTCTGCTCAGAGATGGCAAAAGTACAGACATCCTTTCCTCAAGTAGAAGTACAGATACTCGTGTTTAAAATACTCTGGTAAAAGTAGAAGTACTGACTAAACTTCTTTACTCAAGTAAAAGTAAAGAAGTATGGGCTTTGAAATGTACTTAAGTAAAAAGTACCCATAACTAGCAGCTGTTTTAAAGAGTACCTGACCTCCCTTTATATTAATAGAACAATAATGTCATTGTTAGCTAATGAATGTTTCCATGCTGAACAACGGCAACATGACAACGTTTTCATTGGTCCCTCTTCTTTAGAGAAGACCAGGAAATGATGGATACACGGATCGTGTTCAAATCAATAGGCACGCAATGACTCTAAATAATAATGATCACGCCACCAAACACACATTCAAACTAAAGTAACCAGCCTGTTTGGAAAATGTAAGAAGTAGAACGTACAGTACAGGTATTTGGGTTCAAAATGTAAGAATTAAAAGTAAAAAGTCGTCAGAAAAATAAGTAGTGGAGTAAAGTACTGATACCAGAAAAATGTACTTAAGTACAGTAACAAAGTATTTGTACTCCAGTACTTCCCACCTCTGCCTCTGCTTTATAAAAGCCTCAGTGATGGAGTTAGAGAGCTGATGGTGTTTCACATGCAGCTCCACAGCTCACCTGCAGAAGTCGGGGGCCACCATGCCGTACACGTTGATCCGGTCGCACAGCTCCAGGGCGATGGTCATCGTGAACCAGCCGGTGCTCAGCCAGGAGTTAGAGACTCTTCTGCAGAGGAGAGAGGATCAGGCAGTTAGATGGATTTCATGCGTGGGAGATCACGAGGATTAAAAATGTACCTCGTTGGATTTTTTTGGAATGTGATTAACTGGGATAGATATTTAGAAAATCTCACATTGGCATATTAAGGCAGAATAAAGATTTATCTCGATCCAGAGGTCGATTTTTCTGACTGCAAGATCATTCCTCGCAGCTTCATTAAAATACAAATCTATTCTACGTATCGATGGATGCAAATGAACCCTATCAAATAATCAAACCCTCAATCAGAGAGTAGTCTTGGTTTGCATGTGGTGCAGAAAGTAGAGAAGACAAAGCTTCAGCTGCAGAACCATCTGCTTCACACTGGAGATTTTTCAGTCTAGCCCCGAAGAACTGAGCAGTTTTCTGAGAAATACTTTTTACATTGCATTAGATAGTCTCTCTACATTTAAATGCCCATCAGAGAGACCCCTCTCATAGGGGTTCTGTCAGATGAAGTAACATAACAGCCTGACTATCATGCATTTTTCAAGAATCCCTTGTTGGTTTTGAATAGATTTAATGGGCTCCAGTCATAAAACTTCAAACACCACTCCTAAAAGGACTAAAAAAAAACATTCAGTTCAAAGTAAAATACTCAAAAACTAACACTAAACAAAATAACCAAAACTTTGATTCTGGGGATTTGACAGAAAAATGAATAAATAAGCCCTAATCAAAGTTAGCTGAAATACGCAGAAATGAGAACATGTTGAAATATAAAAGCACACTGTTTATCAGAAGCTTCTGTTATTAAGGCTGTGGAATAAAAACACTGTTTCTCTTAAAGTCGCCTTTAGAGGGTTTTCAAGTTAACATTTGGAACAGCCAATGTGTTTAGGGTGTGTTTTGTAGACCTGATGATTAACCCGACTGCAAATTGCCTTAATGGCCTGAATGGACAGCTAAAATGTTTTCGTCAACTACTTTAGTCCAGACTGAAATATATTTACTTTTAAACAGATTTCCATGAAACGTTAGGCAGATATTCATGATCCTCAGGGGATGAACCCTGACAAACTTGTGGCTCACATTTTGTTTTTGGGTGAAATCACTTCATACATATTGAATGTGTGACCATGACATGACAGCTGGCCCTAGGCTCTGGAACACTTTGCCCCTCCATGTGAGGTCGGCCCAGACCGTAGGGGTTTTTAAATCCACATTAAAAACACACTTCTTCTCTCTGGCTTTCTAATTAGAGCGGAGCATGACTCCTGACTTTTCCGTGTGTTTTATTCTTATTTTGTTTTTTAAGTTATATCTGTTGTAATTTATTGTCGTTTATTGTGTTTTGTAGTAATGTGTTTTTTATTACATGTACAGCACTTTGGCTCGACCAAAAATCGCTTTTAAATGTGCTTTATAAATAAAACCTGATTTGATTCGATTTGATTGACATTTGACAATGGATATGATGGATAATCAATGACCATAGAGAAGAAAGTGTATCCTTCATTGGTGAACTCAAGATCTCTTATCTAGCGCCATCATCAGGTTCAAACTTAGATGTTTCCCAAATCTTTGGTTTGTGACCAAATAGCTGCAAAACCAATGGCATTCCCAAAAGTTTCAGCTATACAGCTATACACTATACATTTAAGATTTAAACCATGAACTGTAATCATATTGTTTTGCTCGCAGACAATCACTGCAAGCGTTCTTCAATTAAATGTGACTTGTAATTGGAGTTAAAGTTGAACGCTTTCTGCAGAGTTGGGAGATCAGTGTCCCAAGATGCCTCCAAAATATGTCAAAGTATGGCTGTAGTACGGGGTAGTAAACCATCAGCATGATGGCATTACTATGAGCATGTTAACATTTAGCTCAAAGCAGAGCATGGCATCTAGCTCCTGTCTCACAAAGCAGTTGGGAAGAAAACTTGATGCTGGTTGGCTCGAAAGCCACGTCTGTAATCGCTGCCAAGCACAGTCATGCAGGAGGTTTAGCTGCTGTGCACTTTTGGAACAATCAGCATTCATTAAATACATTTATAATTTCGAAATGATTCACAACTGCTCTAGTTCTCTCACACACTTATTATTAAAAGTATGAGCTGATTCAGCAGGGATGAGTTTGAGTCCTTCAGCTGAGTCAGCCCAGCTGTGGCCCTGTCACGCTCAAACAAACCTCACTGGGACTATGCCAGGGGACCAGTGGAGGTGTTCAGGCATCCGCTATCAGGTGTATTTTAAGATGGCCTCTTTGGAAACGTCCTTACAAAAACAAATATAAGTAATGCCTGCAGCCTTTACTGTAAATGCTGCAACAGATTCATATATCCGATTAAAGTTAAATAACAATGAAGGAGGAACGAAATGTGTTCTACTTAAAGCACATCATTTATATTATGTGATCTTCCTCATCAAATATTTAAAGAGGTAGCAGGGCCACCTATAGCGCACTGAGTCATTTATGAACGTAAGTATAAGATTGGCCGAGACTTTAAAGAAACGTTCTGGGACAAAGATCACAAAGAGATAGCTTTATGGTGCAGAGCCAACACGTGCGAGCTTTGCCAGATGATAGAAGAAGTGAAGGTTGATGGGGAAAAGAAAATAACTTTTGGCAAGAGCAGGAAATGATGGGCTGGCATGTGATACGATAGGCTTTTTATTATGAAGATGCTGTTAACTAATTATGTGTTTTTGCAAGATATTGTTAATTACAGGAATCAGAATATTCACTTGTACAGTTTACCTTGTTAGGCTAGTATAATGTTGACTATGATCATCTTTATCCACAATGCTTACATTTGGAAATTAGCACTAAACACAGAGTATAGCTGAGGGGGATTTAGTTTTGCAGGTTTTTGGTAATAAAATTAAGCATTATTTGGGTTTAAACTTATTGTTTTTTTCAACAGCTTCCATAACATGTGACCCCGTGACTCTAAACCAATGCAGCATTGTATTACAACACTGGACTAAATAGGTCACATCTTTTTAGGCTGTGTCCACTTTGTTAGAAAACATTCAGTCAGGAGGTTCCTATAAAGTAATAAGGATTTGTCCTCATGGTACGATGAATACTTGTTCTAAATGTCACGGAGATCCGTCCAATAGATGTTACGCTTTTTCCATCACCAAGTGGTGAACAAACAGAGAAAAAGACCAACCGATAAATAAAGCCAAGTGTCAATCAAAAGTAATTTTTCATCCTACCTTTGTTTTAAACACTTTAAACATGCATTACAATAAGCTTTCCTGGTCATCATTTGTTTTTGAATGCTGTAAAGAGCAGCGAGGAGGCAGAAGATGAAGTGCAGTTTGACAGATCTGCCGTTCTCTCGACCACCTCGTCTCCCCGCTGCTTTCAGAGAGCTTGCTACCGCTCCTCGTCTGTTCCCACACACACTCTCCACACACACTCTCAGCATCCACAGCAAGAAACAAAGCTCGGCCTGATAAGAAAAGTGTTGACAAGAACAACCAGGCAGCCATCTCCTCACTCGGTTGATGAGGGTGACACATTCTAAGTGGAGGGTTAGCCTGGCTGCTTGTGAGCTGTTTCTCTTATTTCTCACAGAGGCAGCAGCGTAGGGGGGGACAGACAGACAGAAAGCTTTTAAATAGAAAGCCTGTTGAGCATTTGAATTCTGAGCATTTCCCCCTGCCTGAGGATGGTGGAATAAAAACCACATCTTCCTGGGACACTTTAGAGGATGTAAGGACATGTTAAGAGCTTTTTCTAAACAGATATAAAGAAGGACTTTGGTATCAGACATACTAACAGTCCACTACCTTTCCAAATATGACTATAATCTGAATATGATACAGGACAGGTATCATCTGAATATGATACAGGACAGGTCAACAGTATCATCTGAATATGATACAGGACAGGTAAACAGTATCATCTGAATATGATACAGGACAGGTAAACAGTATCATCTGAATATGATACAGGACAGGTAAACAGTATCATCTGAATATGATACAGGACAGGTCAACAGTATCATCTGAATATGATACAGGACAGGTAAACAGTATCATCTGAATATGATACAGGACAGGTAAACAGTATCATCTGAATATGATACAGGACAGGTAAACAGTATCATCTGAATATGATACAGGACAGGTAAACAGTATCATCTGAATATGATACAGGACAGGTAAACAGTATCATCTGAATATGATACAGGACAGGTCAACAGTATCATCTGAATATGATACAGGACAGGTAAACAGTATCATCTGAATATGATACAGGACAGGTAAACAGTATCATCTGTGAGGATGTTCTGAATAAAGCCTAAAACACATGATTTAGATGAGGGCTGTGTTGATATTAATTCGATTTCGAGAGCATTCTTTGAACTTGAACAAAGTGCATTCAGAATATGAAACTGAATTACGCTCTTTACCATTCGTTTGCAATAATGGAGTAAAGATCATGGAGATGCATGGTTGAGCAGGTCTCCCTTGAAAAAGAGATCAATGATCTCAATGGGATACACCTGGATAAATAAAGGTTTGAAATGAAATGAAAGACAGTCTAAACGTCTGGTCGGAAAGAAAGACACAACTGCTTAAACATTACGAAATACTTCATAATCAATATGTTGTTCCATATTTGCACATTTTGCATATAGAAGGTTGTGTCCATTGGTGATCATTACTGGTGTGAGGAAATGTAATCTTGATCACGGCTGCATAGAAAAGAGAAAATTGATTGAATATATATTCGCATAATTCATTTAAACAATTGAGTGTGAATATTGCCTTGTTAAAACTGGTATATTTTGTGTATGTTATTTTCAATACCTCTGTGCTTTCAAGTTAATAGTATTAGAGAAATTATGTTAAAACAGTATTAAACATGTGTCCTACATTTTTATCACTGTTTTACATAATATTTTAATAGAAGATCATTTTAGGTTTTCACAATACAGTGGCTTTCATGTCATCGGGTCTAATTACTGTGAATCAATGCAGCATTATATAACTATACTGGACGAGTAG